TTCCTTCTTAATATACAACTAAAGCCCAAAAAGTTCAAACCTATTTTAAAAATATGAGATTCGTAATTAAAATATCCATAAATGAATCATTCATCTCAAACATTAAATGATAATTCTAAATACAATCAAATAAAATCTAAATAATCTCAAATAGGCAAATATAATCCAAAATCATCTTAAACTTCAAATACAATCCAAAATCATCTTAAACTTCAAATACAATTCAAAATTATAAAAATTATAAATTATAATCCAACATTAAATCATTGTTGTCTCATATTAGACTGCACCATGACCTAATAATCTGGCAGTTGCCGAAAACGCCATCAGCGCAGTCATTGTACAAGAGCACCAAAAGGTACAGACACCTATCTACTTCATCAGCCGAGTTCTCCAGGACGCGGAAAGAAGATACCAAATGATCGAAAAATTGGCATTAGCGCTTGTCACCGCGGCCCGGCGGCTCCGACCTTACTTTTAGAGCCACCAGCTGGTAGTCAAAACTAATTACCCCATCAAGCAAATCCTGCGAAAGCCCGAACTTGCCGGACGCATGATCGGCTGGTCAGTAGAACTATCCGAGTTCGGTATCCAATACGAAAGTCACGGACCCTTGAAGGCCCAATGCCTAGCCAACTTCATAGCCGAGCTCACGCCAAGTACTCTCGAAGAACTCCAGGTATGGACTTTGCATGTTGACGGGTCCTCCAACTCCAAAGGTGGTGGTGCAGGTATCATCCTAGAAGGGCCAAACCAAGTCGCCGTGGAGCAATCCCTCAAGTTCGGCTTCAAGGTGACTAATAACCAGGCGGAGTACGAGGCACTTCTTGCAGGCCTGAGGCTAGCTCGCGACCTTGGAGCTCGGAGAGTGAGTTGCAACAGCGACTCAAAACTCATGGTGGAGCAGCTTAGTGGGACATACCAGACAAAGGACACTATGCTGCAGCGGTACTTTCACACTGCGTCCCGCCAGATCTCATCCTTCGACGAATTCACCATAAAACACGTGCCATGAGAGCAAAATGCCCGAGCAGACCTCCTATCGAAGCTCACCAACACCAAAAGACCTGGGCAGCACCGGACCATCATCTAGGAAACCTTGCACTCGCCCAGCCTGGACGACAAAATCGTCGGCGTCAGCGACAATGAAGACCTGGGATGGATGGCAGGCATCTGGAGTTACTTGAAAGAAGGAGTCCTGCCCGAGGATAAAGATGAAGCTCGGAAGATAAGGATGAGATCAGCCAAGTTCATCATTATTGGGGACGAATTATTCAAGCGTGGCATTTCCTCTCCACTGCTCAAATGCCTGACGGCGTCTCAGGCAGCCTATGTCATCAGGGAAGTTCACCAGGGGATATGCGGCATGCACTCCGGCGCGCGCTCAATGGCGACCAGAGTACTCCGAGCTGGGTACTACTGGCCCACCCTGAAGTCGGACTGCCAAGCCCACGTCCAAAAATGCAAGGAATGCCAGCAATTCGGCAACGCACACCGACAACCGCCTGAAACTCTCCACCACATGATGTCGGCATGGCCTTTCTCCCAGTGGGGAATGGACATCCTCGGGCCATTCCCCCCCGCGAAGGGCCAACTAAAGTTCCTCCTGGTAGCGATTGATTACTTCACCAAATGGATCGAGGCATGCCCACTCGCCAAAATCACCACCGAAAACGTGCGGAAGTTCACCTGGAAAAATATCATTTGTAGGTTCGGAATTCCTCACGCCCTCGTTACTGACAATGGTAGACAGTTCATTGCACAGGATTTCGAGGACTTCCTCCACGAACTCGGGATCAAACACCTTTCGACCTCGGTGGAACACCCCCAGACCAACGGTCGGGCTGAAGCTGCTAACAAAGTCATCCTCCGGGAGCTTAAAAAGCGACTGGGAAACGCCAAAGGGTAGTGGCCCGAGGAATTCCTCAGCATCCTCTGGGCGTATCATTGCATCCCTCAGTCAACCATGCAAGAGACGCCCTACCGGCTGACCTACGGAGCCGACGCAATGATCCCGGTAGAAGTCGGCGAAGCATCCCAGAGACGCCAAGTCTTCAACGGCGAACAGAATGCCCAAGAACTGGCAGCCGACCTCGATCTAGTGGACGAGCTTAGAGACGAAGCTTGAATCCACGAGGAAGCCTGCAAGCTCCGAGCATCCCGCCGATATAACACCCGAGTAAAACCTCGATCTTTCCGAGCAGGCGACTTGGTATGGTGGTTGCTAGGCGAAGCACGGAAAGACACGACAGATGGGAAGCTCGCACCCACTTGGGGCGGCCCTTTCCGAGTTACAGAAGACCTGGAGAATGGGGCCTACCGACTAGAGGAGCTCAGCGGAAAAACTATACCGCGAACCTGGAATGCTACGCATCTCAAGTTTTATTATAGTTGAACTTTGTATGAATGAGCTGCGCACTCTTTTCCCGCCTCAATCTTTTGTCCCAAAAAATAGAAAGATGGATTTTGACTGAGGGGTTTTTTAACGAGGCACATTTACATAATCAATAAAGTGACTCATTCCATTCAACTTACATCTTTTACGCATCATTTTACACCTAACCTCAAATGAAGGTCGAGTCCGAACCTCGGTTTATTAAGGTCAAGTTTGAACCTTCACAAAAATCTAAGGTCGAGTCCGAACCTCGGTTCATTAAGGTCAAGTTTGAACCTTCACGAAAATCTAAGGTCGAGTCCGAACCTCGGTTTATTAAGGTCAAGTTTGAATCTTCACAAAAATCTGAGGTCGAGTCCGAACCTCGGCCTCATTACAGTAAAATTTAAACCTTTCCATAACAAATATATATATATACAAGCAAAATTCCCAGGATTCAACACTTGAGTTCAAAGCTGAAATAAATTACGATTACAAAATTAGCCTACACAGAGGCATTGTCGCTGGAACTATCCTCAATGTCGTCCTCCTGGACCAGCTTCCCGAAGCAAACGACCTTCTCCACATGCATGTCGGAGAAGTCGAATCCTGGTGCAAGGAGCCTGGCCTGGCGAGCAGCCTTGAGGAAGCCCCTCTTATGCTCCACCACGATGGAGCGCTCGACCTCCTGAAGTCTCCTCCGCAATGCCGCCTTCTCGGCCTCCAGCGACGACAGGTCTACTCTCTGGGCAGCAATCTCCTGCTCTTTGCTGCCAATAATAACCTCGTTGCGGAGACGCTCCTCGGTTACCGACACCAGCTCACCCTTCAAAGACCTCATCTTCTAGAGAGCGAACCTGCTCCTAAGAAGACATCATCTCGTCCCGGGACGAGGTAACCAGCTTCTACAGCTCGGTTTCCTGCATCTTCGCTTCACCGAGGGCAGCAGTTAGAACCCCATTCTCCCCCTTCAGGACTTTATTCTCATCCTTCAGAGACTGAACAAGGCTTTTCAGCTTCGCCATGTCCTCTTGCTGCCTCGACCACTTGTGTTTCCAATAATCCACAATGGCCGTTCCTCGCTGAAGGAAGATCTGGGCGGCATCAAAACTTCCCACTGGCCTGGCTGACTCGATCATCGCCTGATCAGCCGTGCTCAATGACCCCCTCGGAAAGAACTTTTCTGGAGTCACCGTGGCGCTCCACAGAGAGTCGACCTCCTCCGACGCACTCAAGTGCTCCAGCTGCATGGGCGTGCCCTCTTGCGCATAGCGATACGCGAGGTACGGCCGCTTCGGCCTGGGAACCGGACTAGGGGTAGGGAGCCCGGAGCTCGATCCCTCCCTACGAACCTCGGTAGAAGAAGGCGCAGATACCCCAATGCCACTCCCCGTCTGCAAAAAGCAAGAGCACTCTTCTAAGAACAAAAGTATACAGAAGGGTAGAACGCCAAATACCACAGAAGGGCCAACGACTTACCTCGTCAACAGGAGCAACAGGTACTGCACCCCGGACCACTTCCCCGGCGACATCCCCCGCCTATGGACACCAACCTCAAGTCAAAAATGACGAAAATAGAAACAAGAATAAGAAAAGAAAAATACTCACCGCGGCAACCCGCCCAATAGCCCGAGCCAGCACCTCACCGGGTTGAACGACTGGCTCAACAGCCGGCGCCACCTCTTCGGCAGCCACACGATTGACCCCCTCCGACTGCGGACTCCCAGCAAGGTCCACCACCCCAACTTCTACAACCTGGGAAGCAACCTCCCCTGTCTCACGAGGGGCCGAGGTCCCCCCGATCTCTCCCCCCCCCCTCTTTCATTTTGGGTGGACTTTCGGGGGGGAAACCTCCTCCTCTAGAGGCTCGGAAACCCCGAGCTCGGTCACGTCGAAGCGGGGCTTCAGCTTGAACCACAAGTCTTTTCTTATAAGGCTTACAGACAAAAAATAAGGCACGTCAGCAAAAAAAGACTACACAAACCTCAACAAAATATCAAGATGTAAAATACTCACTCTCCAAGCCCCTTTACCTATGCGCTGAATTCTCGAGCTACAGGATGAGTTTACAGTCCAGCGGCCGGGGAAGTGCCTTAAGACCCTCATTGGCGGCTACCTCTAGAGCCGTCAGCTGCGAAGGGTCCACCCCGTGAAACCCGAACGGGTCGCGGCACCAATAAAAAGGAAATCTTAGCAAACCGCCGAAGTGGAACACCTCATCCTCTAGAGGGTCGACGCCGACAAGGGCAACCCGGAAATCGGTCGGTCCACCAGTGTCCAACCGATTAGCGTACATCGACACCCTTTCACCTCACCCATCATGCAATCACCTTTGCTAGACCATTGGAAGTCTCTTCCAATAGATAAGTACGACGGCACAACGGACCCGGTTGGAGTAGCGTATCATGCACTCGCCAGAGCGCATTCGAAGAGGAGACGTCGCGTGAGATCATAATTGCAAAGAGTGTGCAATAACAAAATTACAGAAAGTGTGCAATAACAAAAATGCATAAATTGAACTGCATAATTAGGGACAAAATAGAATTGCGAATAGCTTTGAATATCATCACAAAATGGTCAAAAAGCATTGCAAGTAGCTAGTTGTTGTAACTTTTAATTTACATCTCTATGGATTGGTCAAAGTTGTGATATCCCCATAAAGTGGTGCCTATAATTTAAAAGACACAAGTTAATATTTTAAATATATATATATGAAACCAGTAAAATCTGCAAGTTGTTAAAATGTTTGTGATATCCCATCTAAATTATTGAAACTTACCATCAATAAACTAGTAAAACTAGTAACACTAACTTGACTTGAAATGCCATTGATTTCCTACACAAAAGACAATATCAATTAATCATCAAATATTTTTTTCGTTTGCTCATAGTTAAATTTCTATTAGCTTACCATAGATTGTTGTTGTTTGTATACATCATTAAGCCATGTGGATGCACTTATATTAGGCACTTCTAAATTGTACTCTATCCTCTCCTTCACAAATTTTGAACCTTGTTTACTCTCATTATTCTGCATACAAAAAAGGAGAGTTTATGTATTTGAGTAAGCTAATGCATGGTAAAATTCATAATTTTATAATACCTTAGTAAGCTCTTGATCTTGTGAAGCACTTGAGTCACCCTTTTTCTTCCGTTTACTAAGTTGGCGTTCTACCGATCCTTTCAAACGCTTTGAACCTTTTCTACCTTCTTTTTTCTTGAACCCTTTTACTTGTATTGAATCATCATTGTTTCTTGCAATCTCTATAACATTGCTAAGGAACTCATTAACTTGAGTATTACTTACTTGTTTATTTTGAAACTCTAACATTTCCTTGTCCAATAAATCAGTAACTTTTTGCTCAACAACGTGTATGTTTCTTGACTCCTACATGCTTCATCAACTATCCTCATAAGACGGGGAAAAATGTCTCTATGACGTTGTGTTGAAGTCAATTGAGCATCTTCTACTACATGACGAACACTAACATTAGGTAAAGACACACTTCTTGCTAACTTTGTCCACCTCTTCAGGATATATTGCTCAGGCACTGATTTAACATCCATATGAATAAAGACTCTGTTTATTTTGAAACTCTAACATTTCCTTGTCCAATAAATCAGTAACTTTTTGCTCAACAACGTGTATGTTTCTTGACTCCTACATGCTTCATCAACTATCCTCATAAGACGGGGAAAAATGTCTCTATGACGTTGTGTTGAAGTCAATTGAGCATCTTCTACTACATGACGAACACTAACATTAGGTAAAGACACACTTCTTGCTAACTTTGTCCACCTCTTCAGGATATATTGCTCAGGCACTGATTTAACATCCATATGAATAAAGACTCTTAGACAATGACAACAAAGTATGCCAAATGTCTCAAATTTACAACAAGAGCAATGAATTATATTTTTATCCAAATCAAATGACACTTTCCATTCTCCCAAATACTTTACCGTGGCAATAACAAGAAAGAAATTGAAAAAGAGAAAGAAGGAGTTAGTAGAGAGAAAATGCCTACTCATGCCAAGTTCATGAAGGAACTCCTCACCAAAAAGAGGAAATATTTTGAAGAGGAGACCATTACATTGGAGGCGGGGTGTAGTGCCATTTTTCAAAAGATGTTGCCAACTAAATCCAAGGACCCTGGTAGTTTCACTATTCCATTCACTATTGGGAGTTTAGCTATTGGGAAGGATCTACTTGATTTGGGGGCTAACATCAATCTCATGCCCTTATCTATGCTTCAGAGGATTGGTGATTTGGAGGTGAAGCCCACTCGCATGACTTTGCAGTTGGCTGATCGATTTGTGATGTATCCTCATGGCATAGTGGAGCATGTTCTGGTGAAGGTGGACCGTTTTTTGTTTCCCGCTGATTTTGTGGTGATGGATATAGAAGAGGACATTGATGTACCTCTCATTCTTGGCCGACCATTCATAAAGACTGCAAGAGTCCTAATTGATGTGGATGATGGGAAGCTTAAGGTGAGAGTGAATGATGAAGAAGTCAACTTTGATGTGTTTGACGCCATGCACTACCCCAAGGACAAGAGCAGTTGCTTCCGGGTTGATATAATTGATGGCCTTATCGAAGATACTAGGAAACACGTCTCTTTTTCCACTCCTTTGGAGAAAGTCTTGATCAATGTGGTTGAATATCTCCATGAAGAAGAAGATAGAGAGATTGAGGTATGTCTGAAGAGCCTTGACTCATATAAGGAGGTGACACCTAATTCTGTGCGTATAGAAGATTTGAAGGAGGAAGGGGAGGTGATTACCCCTAAGCTTGAGTTGAAAATACTTTCTTCTCATCTCAAGTATGTATTTCTAGAAGAAGGTGGAAGCAAATCGGTCATCATAAGTAGTTCCTTATCCACATTGGAGGAGGAGAAGCTTGTGAGAGTGTTGAAGTTCTATCAAGGGGCAATTGGTTGGTCTATTTCTGATCTCAAGGGAATTAGCCCAGCTTATTGCATGCATAAGATATTTATGGAGGATGAGTACAAATCGGTTGCTCAACCATAGAGGAGGCTTAATCCTGTGATGAAGGAGGTGGTGAAGAAGGAAGTGATTAAATTGTTGGATGCCGGTATGATCTACCCTATCTCTGATAGTGCATGGGTGAGCCCTGTACAAGTGGTTCCAAAGAAGGGTGGCATGACGGTGATTCAGAATGAGAAGAATGAGTTGATTCCTTCTAGAACGGTCACGGGGTGGAGAATGTGTATTGATTACCGAAAGCTCAACAAAGCTACAAGGAAGGATCATTTCCCACTCCCATTCATGGATCAGATGCTTGAGAGATTAGCTGGCCAAGCTTATTATTGCTTTCTTGATGGTTATTTAAGCTACAACCAGATTGTGGTAGATCCTGAAGACCAAGAGAAGACCGCTTTCACATGTCCTTTTGGTGTCTTTGCTTATCGGAAGATGCCATTTGGACTGTGCAATGCTCCTACAACATTTCAAAGATGCATGCTAGCTATATTCTCCAACTTGGTGGAGAAGAGCATTGAGGTTTTCATGGATGATTTCTCTGTGTTCGGGTCTTCATTTGATGAGTGCCTAACCAATCTTGAAGTGGTGCTTAGAAGATGCTTGGAGACCAACCTTATCCTCAACTGGGAAAAATGCCATTTCATGGTGACCAAGGGGATAGTCTTGGGGCACAAGATCTCTCACAAGGGCATTGAAGTTGACCCTGCCAAAGTGGAGGTAATAGAAAAACTCCCTCCACCCTTCAATGTCAAAGGTATTAGGAGTTTCTTGGGGCATGCTAGCTTTTACAGGAGATTTATTAAATATTTTTCAATGATAGCCAGACCCTTAAGTAATCTCCTAAACAAAGACACTCCTTTTTGTTTTAATGATTCTTGTCTGAAAGCTTTTGAAGCTTTGAAGGCTAGACTTACCTCTGCACCCATAATCACTGCACCGGATTGGAAACTTGATTTTGAACTCATGTGTGATGCTAGTGATTATGCGGTTGGGGCAATTTTAGGCCAAAGGAGGGCTAAAACGTTTCATGCTATTCACTATGCTAGCAAGGTTTTAAATGAGGCACAAATTAATTATGCCACTACTGAAAAAGAGTTGCTAGCCATAGTGTTTGCATTGGAAAAGTTTTGGTCCTATTTGATTGGTTCCAAAGTGGTTGTGTTCACAAATCATGTAGCCATTAAGTATTTACTCACCAAGCCGGATTCTAAGCCAAGACTCATTAGGTGGATTCTTCTGCTTCAAGAGTTCGATTTGGAGATCAAAGATAAGATTGGCAAGCAAAATCTAGTTGTTGACCACCTCTCAAGACTTATAAACGATGAGGTGACCATGAAGGAGAGGGAGATCCTGGAGGAGTTCCCTGATGAAAAATTGCTTATGGTGCAAGAGCGGCCTTGGTTTGTTGACCTAGCAAACTTCAAGGCAGCTGGGGTCATACATGGAGATTTCACATGGCACCAGAAAAAGAAGTTCCTCCATGATGCTACCTATTATGTGTGGGATGACCTTCACTTGTTCAAGATTGGTGCAGACGACCTACTGAGGAGGTGTGTTTCAAGAGAGCAGGCCAAGAGTATTTTGTGGCACTGTCACAATTCTCCTTATGGAGGGCACTTCAATGGAGAAAGAACAGCTGCCAAGGTGCTTCAAGCTGGTTTTTACTGGCTGACACTCTTTAAAGATGCCCACAGTCATGCCAAGCAGTGTGACAGTTGTCAGAGGGTTGGAGGAATCACAAGGAAGCATGAGATGCCCTTACAAAACATGCATGAGGTTGAGGTGTTTGATTGCTGGGGCATAGATTTTGTTGGACCACTGCCTTCTTCCGTCACAAATGAGTACATTCTTGTGGCAGTGGACTATGTCTCAAAATGGGTTGAAGCCATTGCTACACCCAAGGCGAATGGCAAAACAATGGTGAAGTTCCTAAAGAAGCACATTTTCAGCAGATTTGGCACCCCCAGGGTACTTATCAGTGATAGAGGTTCACATTTCTACAATGCTCAGTTGGAGAGGGCTCTAGAACACTATGGAGTCCATCATAAGGTTGCCACCACCTATCACCCTTAAACCAATGGGCAAGATGAGGTTTCTAACAGAGAGATCAAGAGGATTTTGGAGAAAATTGTGTCATCTTCAAGGAAGGATTGGTCTACAAAGCTTGATGAAGCTCTATGGGCTTATAGAACCGCCTTCAAGTCTCCAATTGGTCTCACTCCATTTCAATTGGTGTATGGGAAAGCTTGCCATCTTCCTGTAGAACTGGAGAACAAAGCTTATTGGGCTTTGAAGATGTTGAATTTTGATCCTCTCAGTACTGGTGAGAAGAGGAAGTTGGAGCTGCATGCTCTTGATGAACTGAGGCTCCAAGCCTATGAATCATCCAAGCTGTACAAGGAGAAAGTCAAGAGCTATCATGACAGGAAGATTCTCAAGAGAGAGTTCAGGGCAGGCCAGTCGGTGCTATTGTTCAATTCCAGGCTCAAGCTCTTCCCTGGAAAACTGCGATCTATATGGTCTGGCCCTTTCACAGTCAAAGAGGTGAAACCCTATGGTGCCATAGAGATTGAAAATCCGGAGGCACAAAGAAGCTGGGTTGTGAACGGACAGCGGTTGAAACCCTACTTTGGGTGGAGAAGTTGAAAGACTTTGTTGTATCCTTTCTTTCAGAGACCCTTGAGGTCTCTTCTAGTCAGGCTCGGGACAGTAAACAAGCGCTTCCTGGGAGGCAACCCAGAGATCTGAACTTTGTTTTATGTGTTTTTCAGTTAATTTGTGTTTTCAGCTTTGATTGTTAATGTGTGTTATAATTGTATTTGTGATGTGAATTGTGATTGTTTGTGTTGTATGCAATTGTGTGAATCATGCTTGAGTGGGTAGATATAGGTTAGATCTTGTTTAAGAGTGTGAGGAGTGAAAAATTCAGGTTAAACCTGCATAGAGCTGACCACGCCGGGCGTTACATGACCACGCCCGGTGAAATAGGTGGTGGAAACTCTCAACCAAGACTCATGCCAGGCACAATTTCTATTGCGCCCGGCCCAGCATTCAATAGAGCCCCTGGAACGACCATGCCCGGCGCATTTATTGTCACGCCGGGCGCATTAAAAGCTAGAGGCTCCAGGGGGTGGCAAGCCCGGCGTGCTCATAAATGCGCCCAGGGCATTAATCACTAGAAGGTCTCTGCCTAAAACACGCCGGGCGCGTATCTGCCAAGCCCGACGCATTGAATGCTTGCTCGAGTTTACCCTAAACACGCCTGGCGCGACACCAGATTAGGGCACCCTTTGGACTTCTTCTGATATGGCGCTCGGCGCATGAATAGCACGCCCGACGTGTCGTTTCAGATGCCCTTAACCACTCTTCCACGTTCCCATTCTCATTTCCCACTTTTCCCATTAACCACTCTCCCTCAACCTCTCATCTCCCGGAAAACCTCTCAACTCCCTCTCATCCTCTCTTCTTCTCTGAAATCAACCTCTCACTCTCACTCTCACGTTTCTCTCCCAATCTCGCAACCTCCCATCATTCTCGACTTCTCCCTCACCTCTCTTCCCTTTCTCACGGACCCTTTTTCCTCTTCCTCTTCAACTCCACAACTCTCACTCTCTCAACCTCACTCTCCACCTCCGTTTCTTCTTCTCAAGGCCAAGCAATCGCGTTTTTCTCCTCCCCTCCAAGAACTCCACACTCAAGTAGGTTTTCATTTTTGTTCTTGTGTATTTTCGTTTCAAGCATCCCTTTTCTCTCATTTTCTTTGATTTTGGCTGTTTAGAGTGGGGCCTATGGCCTACATTGGGGTTTTGGAACCAAAAAGATGGCATTTTTAACGCCCCTATATGCACTCGCGCCGGGCGCGACGAACTGAGCCTGGTGCGGTCTAGGTTTTCAACTATTTTATATATGTATTTTAGCCCGGCATGTGCTTGCTGCGCCCCGCATCATGAGCACCAGAGAGTCAGAATTCTCGCTCACGCCCGGCGCAATTTTGTTTTGCGCCCGGTGCAATTGATTCCAGAGAGTTCTCTATACTCTCTATGCTCGGCGCGTGAATATTAAGCACGGCACCATACACCTCTGAACCCTTTGTTTTTTGTGTTTTATTTTCTTTTTATATTTTTGTGCTTTTTGTGGCTAGATTGTTCTAGTTTCATGTGTTCTTTCATATTCTGTTTGAATTTTGGTCTAAGGATAGCCTCCATTATGCTTTACTTGAATTGGTCATCTTAGTCTATTTTGTGATGCTCATCTGTCTGCCTGGGATTTCTTGTTTTCTTTCTACAGATGGCCTCCTCAAGCAAACGTCCTCGCTCCGACCAACCGGATCAGGCTCCCCGCAAGCCGAGTCGACCCTATTCCTTCCAATTCCTGACCAAACATAATGAGGCGCATTTTGAGTCCATGAGTGGCAGGAAATTCATTCTAGAGAGGCAGGTCGAACTGGATGAAAATGAGGCACCGAAATTTCAGAATAAGCTTACTAGGTGGCGTTGGGACAAGCTCGGATCATACCCCCTCCCGGCAACATTGTTGTGGTCAAGGAATTTTATGCTAATGCTTTTTGGTCGGAACAGGGTATTGTTCCATATTCCAGCTATGTGAGGGGTGTGCGAGTCCCCTTTGATGCCGAGACGATCAATGACTTTTTGGGGACTGCACTGACGCCTAAGGAGCAATACGAGTATGGGAACTACTCGACCACGATGATGGATCCTGCAGTGGTAGAGGCTGCCATATTCATGCTTGGATTCGGCTTCCACAGGACCCGCTCTCAGCAGCCTCTCCACATGAAGCGTCGGGATCTACTACCGGTGGTCAGGATTTGGGCGGCTTTGGTGCATGCCAACATCCTCCGCTGCTCACATGTCTCTGATCTGCACTGGACCAAGGCCATGTTGATGTACTGTATCATGACGGGGAGGACTGTGGACTTGGGCAGGATTATTTGCGTCGAGATCTCTGGATGCGCCAACTCTCCTCCCTCTGCATCCCTTGGACATCCCTCTCTCATCACGCAGTTATGC